TGTACGACCCTCCCCCCCCTCCCAACAACGACCAAAACGGCCCCCCCCTTAGCGGAAAAGTACGCTCCTATTATGTGTTTCGCACAACGATGCTGTACCCTGCCTACCGTCGGCCTCTAGAGTGCGGACGCACGCTTACATTCTCATGGATATTCCGGCACCTCTGCCTGGAAAGACGCCTGCCGCATTTCCTGTTCAGCTTTCAAATACTTTCAAAAATCGTTGCTAATTTCAGTCTGCTGCCTTCTTCCAAAAGGACACTATATCCACGAACTGAAACAACTTTTAGCGATGACTTCACGGTTAAGTGGTAGGTACCAAGCAAAAGGGAACGCCGCTGTGAATTCCGTAACTTGAAGTAATCCCTTCAGATATCCAAAATTGCAGGACCTGTTCATCAGCAATGGTACAGATCGAAACCACTCATCCATGGGATCCTGATCGAACCAAGATTCATCACGATTTACTCAACAGAAACTTGTTACTGCTTCAACACCACTCTGGTACAAATCTTCGCGAATTTGGTAGCGTTCTGCGAAAAATTGCGTGAGTGACATTTTTCACCTTTGCGAGAGATTTTGAGTTTTGCCCTGGCTTAGAAATGACATTGTCCTGTTATTTGTAGCTAGTAATGCAGCTAGCCCCGGGAATCTGGTCGTGTCCAGCATAATTTGCTACTTTTGTTGTTTGTTTACCTGGATATTCGGTTCTACTTAAAGAGCAACTTGAAGAAGTCGGGTTTCGGATGGGTGGGGCATGAGGGGCAAAGCCACAACTCGTATTTCCGTCTCATGACAGACTAGAGACTTGGAGAAAGTCGATTACGGTCAGCAAAGGTGAGCGATGGGGAAATGGGAGGCGCGCCCTCAGTGGGAGAGGCATAGGCTGAGGTGAGCGGGGCCAAAGTCAAAAAATAGTGCATCGCTACCGGTGCACTCCAGAGACCGGAAAAAACAAAATGGACACGGAGAGGAACGAAAGGAGAAATTTTAAAAATTAAGACTGTTCCACACCTGCAGAGAGCGGAGCTTGCGCCGCTCGTAAATCGGTGTCGGAACATTCCGGAGAGAAGTGTTTCATTTATATGATTCTCCAAATAGTCGAATAAGTAGTGGCAAAACACCTTGATGTCACGATTTCAGAAAAGTGGAATCAGGCGACAGGCTAGTGTTTGGCGAACTGTTCTTCTTGCCAAAAATCGCACAACCGTGCGATGCACTCAGAGAATTCGTACGCAAGGCAGTCTCATGGAGTAAAGATGTGAGTTTTCAGTCCCTTTTAGCACCCTCTACCTTAGTTAAGCAGGAACTCAGCTTTCAGATCCCACGTGCAGTGGTTGCTTGCCGTTGTGAAACTGCGGTCGAAATCTACAAAGTAAAAGAACAAGATTACACAACGTTTCACATTCTTTGAACTATTCACGTCATTTCATTAGACATCTTTATTGCCTCAATTTGGTGCAACAATAAGAATCAATTCCCGTTGTATCGATTGATCGATTAACATATATTTAAGTGAACAAAAAGTGGAAGAACCATCGGAAAAGAAGAAGAACACGAAACGCAATGAAAATTAACATCGGACTGGAGATAGAGAATCGAAAATACTCAACGTCTAATGTCAACCAAAGTAAAGGGTGACAATAAAACCAAATCAAAAAGCAGTTCGGGGACGAGGGTGGGAGGGCATTTTTCACTCCTCTTACTTCCCACTGACGCATCGAGCAAACGGGTGGTCACTGTCAACCCTTGTAAAGCCATGAAATACTCTACCATTTACCATGGGTGTGACAAGAGAATCGTAATTCACCGCGCTGGTGGGCGTCACGTGCAACATCAAATGACGATGGTTCCAGGTAGCAGATGGCAACAGCAGGCAATTCGGACCGAAAATAGTCATGAATGTCTACGATGACGGGGTCTACATGAAGTCCGGTGCTCCAGTCGACAGGTTAACACGAGTTAAGAAAACGCCGCGCCCATCGCCGCGCGCGGCGGAGCGGCCAATTACGATTCTCTTGCCCGTCTCCCATTTACCATAGTGACTCGATCATCCCGCTTGACAAGATTTCCCAGGTTCACAAGTGTAAGACTCGTAAACCGGAACTGGTGAAGCAGCAACAGTGCAAAATGTCCCCACCCCCGTCGCCTAACTGCCTCACAGTTTTATCGGGCATAACAAGAAACCTTTCTGTACCAGAACCCTTCCAAAGGGGTTCACACCCTACACACCGTCCTATTAGCTTCGAAATACATCATTCTGTCTCTGATAAAGCCCTCATCTCCTATGATGAATGAATGTAATGAAATGACTCTCTAATTACAGTTAAATGTACAAGATTTACAACACAATAACTAGAACATTGATCGAAAATCAAACGGTAGACGATAAGGCTTAACGAGCGATTAGCACAAACAAAATATGAAATATTGAGTGTGAAAACAACACTTCTGGAACTGTTGATAAGGTTTCTAATTGTGATAAACATCACTTTACAACACTTAAGAGTGACCCTCAGGAAACCACCGTCCGTGAATCTTCCATGAATTGCTGAATTGTTCCATGATGAAGCGTAATGCAAACTGGATTTCTTAACTCTGACGTCTGAAATATGGCCAGTTAAAATTAGACCATATGAAAAATGGGAAATCATCATAGGTTGATGTTAAAAGTGGCGCAGTTCGGGAGAAAAAAGAGGGGGGATGTGGGGGGGGGGGGGAGCATTTTGCACTTTCACTGCCTGTCCAGACCAGTTTACAAGTCTCACTCTGGTAAAACGTGCAAAATTTGTGTGGAGCTGGAGAAAGCTCGTCGAGTCAACACGGTAAATGGTCTATGTATGAGGTTTCAGTGTTCCTTAGAAAGTTGAGAGGCGGTCTCTACAAACTTCGCCTGGTATCCTTTCTTGGCTACTCAAGATTTCTCGAGTCTCCTCTTGATGATTTGACGCCTCAGTGGTAAGAAGCAGAAATGCCAATTT